TTTCGTGCCTGCAACATCAATAAATCATAGAAATATTCCAGCGTTCCATTGATCTGGAATTGTATTAGTTTATACAGCGTAAGCGTAAAAGTTCGCTCAGTCATTAGATTCTAACAGATATTTCTCATAAACCAGTCAAAGTCGACTTTTGTTTGACTTTTATTGGTGGTTATAGTTTGGTTCATAAGTAGTCAAAGTTTCGATTTTGAGCCATCATCAGGATATTTTCCAGATTTTTTACGTTTGCGGTTGATTTTGCAGGCCGGAGTTTGGCATTTATTTCTTCAGGAACTAATGAAGTGATAAAGTTGGTTTCGTATGCATTTTGTAGAGCCAAGTCTGATGTATAAGTTTCAAAAGTTTCAATTTTTAGTGATCATTAGAGAACTTTTAAGAATTTTTCAAATTTCCACGTGATTTTCTGGTATTTTCAAGCAGGTTAGACATTCATTTGCTCAGCAACTTGCAAACGTTAGACAGTCAGTTTTGTATCACGTTTGCAGGCCAAGGTCTGCTCTATAAGTGAGAAACGTTTAGATTTTCAAGCAGCTTCAATCAATTTTCGGGATATATTTCTAATTTTGTTGGTATTTTGCGCTTGTTTATGCAGAGCAGAGTTTCATAATTATTTCCTTAGAAACTAGTCAAGTCTAGGATTGATTTTTGTATGGAATTCATTGGCCATAGTCTCTCTCGAAGGTAGTGAAAGTTTCAATTTTGACTGATCATCAGACTATTTTCAAGACTTTTTAAATTTGCGACATAATTTTATAGTCGCTCTTGCAGGCTGAATTAGGTGTTTATTTATTCAAGAATTAACGAAGCGAGAAAGTCGTTGTTTTGTGTGCATTTTGTAGAACGAAGTGCGTTGTTTAAGTTTAAAAACTTTAAATTTTTAGCCATCATTGAGTAATTTTCAAGAACTCAAATTTTCATGTCTGTTCGCGGATTTTTAGGCAAGTCGTCGTTAGACATTTATCTGTTCAGAAACTTGCAATGTTAAGAGTCAGTTTTTAGCACATTGGTAAGTTTGAGCAGGTGTACGTAGAAAACCTTTCAAACTCGACTTATATTCAGGAAACTTTCAGGATTTTTTTCCAGAATTTTGCTCTTATTTGTGCAGGTTTGTGCAGCGCAGATTGAAGTTTCACGCATTTTCGTGGTATTTTTTGGAGTATTATCAGTTCTATATGTGAAAAAAGTTTTGAAATTGAGTCAATGTCAGGCCAGGTTTAGAATTGACTTTCTCAGACACACTAGTTAAGTTAGATATTCATTTTTGGGTGTATTTTGTAGGGCAAGTGCGTCCTATTTATGGAAGAAAGTTTCGATTTGGAGCCATGATCAGGCTCTTTTCATGAATTGTTGAAATATACGATCGTATTTAGTGATTATTTTTGTAGGACCAAATTTGACATTTATTTTCACAAAATCTGGAAAAGTTGGATAGTTGCATTTGCATGCAGTTTGTAGGACAAGGTGTGCTCTATAACTGGAAAATGTTTCAATTTTTACTCAACCGCAACGGTTTTTTTATGAAATTGTTTAGAATTTGGTTTGTTTTCTGCCTCTGTTCATGAAGGATGCTCGTTCGCAGTCTTAAAAACTAAGTCAGTTTGCGATTGAATTTTGTATAAAACTTTTTGGGGTATAGTCCGTTTAATAAGTGACCAAAGTTTCGATTTTCAGTCATGGTCAGGCAATTTTTGAGAGCGTTTCTTTTATCCGATTATCCTCTGCTAGAAAGCGTAATTTTTCGAGCAAATTATCGATAAATTCAACGCATCTTTTTAATTCTTTTCGCTTTTTTTTCTCATTTTTACTTCTAATTATTTGAGTTAATTTTCATTTTTTCTATACACCGGGCAAACCTGTTGGAAACGTACGTATCTCTCGAGTAACGTGCATGTAAAGTGGAGATATCCGTATAAAAATCCCACCTGGAGTAGCACCAACTTTCCCAGTAAACAACTTTAATGCACGGAACATATTAACTTTTCTCGGAAGTTGCGTTTTGAAGTTGTGGCACTGACAAAAATTTACGCGATGGCCCAAATTTATTGCCTAGTAATTCTTGAGCCTTTTGTTTATGAAATGGCTGCAAGCCCATGAATCTTAGTGTTAGGAAAAAGGGAAACTAGTCAGCGGCGGGTCATCACAAATTTCTCAAAGTAAACGCTTCAAAACCGAATAATCGCTCACTTTAGGAAAATCAAAGCCGGTTTGTTTTAGAAAAATTAGGGTCCCAGCCACTGACCCTTAAGTTTGTCCGTTGAAAAAGCGGGAGCATACTTTTGTGAGCTGTGACCCAAAACCGCACCTAAATCTTTTCGGTTAATTGATTAAAAAAGTACTGCGAACGGTTTACGTTAAAAATTAACGCGATTTCGTGGGATTTAACTGGGAGAATCATGGGTCTTTTCCATTTTTGATGACGAGTGTCGAACTAAATATACTGTTTGAATCCGGTTGTTTTCCCACCTTTGGAAATAATTTTGTTCGAGCCGTTACACAGCTTTTCCATTTAGGCAAATTGGTTTCTGATAATTTGATAGGGAACATTTCAATATCTAAAAGCGTTGATATAAATTTTTAATTTTTTACCATTACGGATGATTACTTTTATTTTTGTTACTGTTACTGAAAATGTATTAATTAATTATTAAGTTATGAGAGCTAAAGCCCCGAATGGCATTGGGTTGATTGGGTTGATTATTTCGAATGGAGATGATTGATTGAACCTTGGAACTATCACAAGTTTTATTTGGCGTGTAAAATGTAATTTTAAAATTGAGGAATTTTCTCAAACAAACTTTTGGATTTTTTGGAATCTCCCGATTTAGGACTATATGAATTTTAAAATTGGCGCCCCGACCGTTACAAAGTAATGGAATGCCGCCCTCGAAGCGTAACATGTGGAATTCAGTCGGCGACAGCGACATTATTGCTGCAAAATCTCCATATATAGCAAATTTTCCATGATAACTCGTGCAAAGCGGTTTCCGGTCTTTCGATTATGCGTCTAATGATTTTTTCATTGCAATTTTCCGACAGGATTTGTAATTTTTCGAAGAATACCCGCTGTCGTGGCAAATTAGATGGTTTGGATCATGTTTCTACATCGGACACTTTAGCTGCAGGAAATTTTTGTCAGAAAATGGCTCACACATGAAGGGTTTCATGGCCGGTCAAAAGCTCGGTTGGAAAGTTTTTCGGGCAAGGCGAAACTGATGGTTTTTAATCGAGTGTAATCGGCAAGAATCAAAAACATATTTGAAAAAATCCTGATGATGACTCTAATTCGAAGCTTTTGCTGCTTATAAAACGAATGCCCCAAAAACTGTAGAAAAGTCATCCCCTAACTTGACTAGTTTATGATGAAATAACTACGAAATTGTGCAAAATTCATAAAAATTATGAAAACTCTCTCAGAATCAGTTAAAGTCGAAACATTTTTCGATTATAAAACACACCTTGACCGTATGGAATTTACACAAAGATGACTTTCCAACTTTCCCGGATATTGAGAAAATAAATGCCAAACTTAGTCCTGCCTGAATTTTATCGAAAATTTAAAACGATTTTTAAAATAGAGCGATGATCACTCAAAATCAAAGCCATTGGTGCATATAGAGCGTATTTTGCTGTACGAAATACTCCAAAACCTTCAGTTTCTCTGGTTTTTGAGAGAATAAATGCCAAACTTCGACCGGTAAAAACAACCACACCAATTTATTGAAAACTGAAAAAATCTGAAAAATGGCCCGATCATGACTTAAAATCGAAAGTTTTTCACAGATAGAACGGGCGTTGTCTTACAAAATACACTCAAATCTTAATCTTTAGTGATTTCGGGGAAAATAAATGCGAAACTTGCATGGACAACGATGAAATTCGCTTGGAAATTAAAAAATTTTTGTCAATAGCCTGATGATGGTCAATAAAATACATACAAAAGTCAGCAGTTTGTCGGGTTTCTGAAGAAATAACCATTAACTTCGACCTGCATAAACAAGCGCGAAATACATGCAAAATTTTGAGAAATTACATATTTGAAAACTTTTCCAGTTATTGAACAGACGTGGCCGTATAAATGTGATACAAAAGTGTCTCTCTTATTTTGCAAGTTCCTCAGCATAATATCTGCCAAAATCCATTAAAGAGTTTTTTAAAATTTGCCTGATGATGATTTAAATTGATTTTAATTAATTTAAGTCGTCATTCATCATCAGCTATTTTCATCATCTTACGAAATTTGTTTCCCAAAAATTGGCAGTATGTAGTTATCACCGGAGTGAGTGGGTGCAGGCCTTAAGAATATAATACTGTGTTTTATTACAAGCATACTAATTGGTAAAAATTGTTTTTCATTCGGCTATAAATAAATGTTTCCTACTTTTATTGTTGTCGCTCAGAATTCGGTTAATATTTAATTGGATTTCTCCATCTAATCCCCAATTATATATTGGTAAACACAAGCGATTATTCCGCAATTCAGCCGAAAACAAAATCCTGACACATCGACATTGCAATTTATTTATAATATCCTATTTGGTTGGTTCATAGTAATTGCAAACGGCCGTATATCATCGATTTGTTGTGCATGTGTGTAGCTTTTTATTTAGCTCCACATCGAGTTGAAATAAATTTAAATGACAGAAACGACCGCACACACATGACATCTACATAAAATTTGCAATATTTCATTTCGCCGCTACAATTGGGTTACATATCAGATATGATGCATTCAACCCGTATTAATAGACTCGGTATCCGGAATAACAAAAATTAACGAGTAAATTAAAATGCCACATCCAATCCCCGTGCTGTGAGTAATTTAAATATTTATTGTTCCCAATTTTGGCGGACTCATCTGCACTAGTGAAAACAGTTAAATTTATCAATCTTTCATTAATCATTGCATGAAAATGGAACCTAATCGCCGAACGAAATGTTTAAACTAAACGAGTTTTCTATGGTTGTTTTTCTTTCTGTTGCAGGCAAACAACGAAAATGAAAATGAGCAAAGTGGGAAACCAAACAAATTCACAAGATCCGCAGGCCGTTAATTCGCGCGTATTTGTCGGTAACTTGAATACGTTCCAGTGTTCCAAAACGGACGTTGAAAGGATGTTTCAGAGATATGGCAGACTTGCTGGTAAGTTTTCTACACATTTCTTGTATTGTTTATGTATTTTACCATTCGGCGCTTTCTTCTTGGTTTGTCGGGTCAATTTTCTGTATATCTTGAGGAGAAAGCCAGAAAATGATCAAGAAATCACTCACGCTAAACAGACTTGACTGCATGGCAATTTAACAATTTAATAATAAGAAATGCCGTTGGAAACAGTTTTTGACAAACTTGCTAAATTCAGTTCGATTTTCGCAGTTGTATTTGCACCACAAAGTGCTTTAATTTCGGTACTGAGAAGCTAACGAACGGACGTAATCAGTACTTTTTACCTGCATTTTCTAGGGCAATATCATCATCTGATAATTTTTAAGAATTTTTGAGACTTTTTGGTCGCATTTTGTATACCAAAGATTTTGCATAAACAAACTTATATTTTGACTAGTCAGCAGGCACTTTTGGAAAATTGTGTTTGGTGTACGAGGTTGTTTTCTAAGGTCTGAGTTTGACTTTTTTATTCAGAGAATCATGAAGGTCGTTTGGTTTGAATTTAGTGGGGCAAAGTCTGCTCTGTAACTGGTAAACGCTTAGTTTTTCCCCATCATCAGGACATTTTCACTATTTTTTCAAAACTGCATGTGATTTTCGCGGATATTTAAACAGGTCGTAATTTGACATTTAATTCCTCAGGAACTTGCAACGTAAGAGAGTCATTTTCCTATCAGATTTTTAGCGCAGGATCGCCTAACAGGTAGAAAATGTTTCGATTTTTAATCGCCTTCAAGGAATTTTTGAGAATTTTTTAAGTGTTGTAAGTATTTTATTGCTGGTTTTTGTAGGTTTTCTGTTATTTTTTAGGGGATAGTTTGTTTTTGGAGCGACAAAAGTTTCTGTTTTGAGTCATCATCAGTTTGTTTTCACGAGTTTTCAAATTTGAGATAGAATTTGTTTTTTGGAAAACTTGGACATTTACTTTCTCAATACTTAAAAAGCTGTAGCGCAAGCTTTGTATGCATTTCATAGGGCCCATTGTCTTCTATAAGTGGACAACTTTTCGATTGCGGCTCATCCACAGGAAATTTACGTAACTTTTTTGCAACCTTGTTTGTATTATGCGCTTGTTTATGCAGGCCTAACTTTCTAGTTAAGATGTGGATTCACTTTTGTATGAATTCTGTCGGGTCTTTGGGCGTCTATTTTATACGTGGTTAAAGTTTCCATTTTGAAGTATTCTTTATCTGTTCAATTCACAATTTTTTTCATAATTCACAAATGTATGATACCCATTATTTTAATGTTCAATCATAGAAGCGAGATGATGATTTTTGCGGCATGTTTTTGCCTTAGAGAACTCAAGACCAAAAAAACCGAAATATAGTTGAGTCTGTGTGCTGATTTGGTGATTGGGCCAACGTTATGTAACATTGCCGATAAATGGTCCATTAAAAAACGTGATTTTCTCATATCTGACTACTTCACTCGGTTGTTGTTTCCCGTCAGTGTGATATTCAAATTTCGGTGTTTCGATCGCTAATTGAAGCGCAAAAATACGCCCTGATTGATGCGAACTAATGTTTCATTGCTTGCCGAACGCAGTGGCCTTATCAGTGGCCATTCTGGCCCGACCAACTTGCGAAATAAAGAAAATGTGTACGTAAATTTGAATATGTTTCCCAGTTTAGCGACGGGAATTTCAGCATGCAAACGAGCACGGAGGAGTCATTTTATTGCCGACAAGCAAGACGTTACAGTCGTTACGAGGCGCCCGTATTGACTGCTAACAGATTGAGAATTGATAAAAAATGTTCATTGAAACAAGATTTATGTGTCTATCCAATGGACTGGCTTTGCTCACTTTGAATTCCAATTTTCTTTTCATGTCTTTGTCTTTTCAGTCCATGTTATTGAGTAGTTGATGAGGAGGAGTGGAATCTGGAGTTGTAAATACTCAACAGTTTCATTGAAAACAACAAATTAATTGAGCAACTTTAGCAGCCTTTATTAAATGCCCCCACTAGAACAGAGAAGCGCTCTGCGTAGGTGGAAATTGGAATCACCATTAAATTTTTAAGAAAAGAGAAAAATCTTCGTTTTTTGATCTGGAAATTTGAAAAAATGTCCTGAAGTTTTTTCTGGTTTTGGTGAAACTCATAGCGGGCGAGAATGGCGATATTCTGAGGCCATTTCAACTGAAAATTATTTTGCCTTATTTAAAAGAACTTAGTATTTTATGTGCAAAACTGTTTGCAGCTTAAGGGCTTTGCTCCCGCCGCCTGTAGAAGATCTCATTTTTGCCTCTAGATCAAAATGTTTTTTTTGCGAAACATTTGGATATTTTTGGGACTGTAATTTGTTGAGATGACACGTCCTGTAAAGGCAAATTTTGGAAATCTCGCATTTGATTTTTCTAGATTTTGTTAGACGCAAAATTCGAAAGTAGAGGTTTCCCGGAATTTTCAATATTTCATGCATAGCTTTGAAAAACGTGACTTTTGCTAAAATGCCTGGGCTGTCTTCACCCACTGGATGTTTTACCAAAATTTCCCCCGGGATGATTTTTGCAAAAAATGGTCAAAAATTGCTCTCCAAAAATCTCAATTTGTCTGAAACTAGAAACGATGAGCAAGTTCTAGTCACCCATTGAACAGAAAAAATCAACGGTTACAGAAAATGTGCTTATCACTTTTTCTCTAAAATGTAAGCGAGCTACTGAATGTTTTTGGTTTTTCTCCGATTTTTTAGGAAAAATGCGAAATTTCGCCATTTTCGACAGGTCGATTTTTTGTCATATTTTTACTCGGTAGACCTTGGGATCAAAATATTCAACATCGCTTGAAGTGAGGCGAAAGTTTCGATAAAACGCCATATTCAGACTGGAAACATTTTATGTGGAAAATGTGTACACTTTATAATTTAATTATATTTTAAATACGTACATTGAATGATGATTGATTTAAACTGAAACTGCGATAAAAACTGCGCGGTTCGATAATTTTCCAGTGATTGCGTACGCAGCTGAGGTTTAATCCGTGGCCCGCTGGAAGCCCTGATTTCAACCCAATGGATTTCTGTTTTGTGAGTAAAATTAATAAAAAATCAGTTTATAGCATAAAATGATTATGAGATGGAATTTTTGGGTTTTTGGTTGCCACAATAGAATATTTTAAAGAAATACTAAACAAAAATATTTAGGTAAAATGCGATCACTTGCCACTTGGATTGAAACACACATATACTTAATATCCATTATAGAGATTCGCATAAGATTTGTCGAAAAACGGTTCGTGCAATCCATTTTGCCGACTTAAGTGGCTTTATATACTTCGATTGGAAACCAACTGGATTGACTTGGAACATCAATCAAAGCCACCAAATGCAATAAGCGGAAAAGCAATAAAAATGGAATTCCGTTTTTTCGCTGATTGCTACGTAACGCAATTCTTCGACTAAGATCTAATGAAGTGTCTTATCAATGTCGTTCAGCGTTTCTCCGAGCCTCCTAATTTTATTTTCTTCCCAGTGGATTGGCAATAAATCAACTTACGTACATTTTCTCTCTGTTTTTATGGATGAGCGACTCTGTTCGAAACCGATCCGATAATAACTACGAAGTCTGCTCAATTGTGCCCAATTTAAGTGCAGTTCCAACTTGAAACAGACCTAGCGGACAGCGCAAAACGAGTACATGTAATTTTTTTTTTGGTTTATTGCCGTTTTATGACGGCAAACATTTAATATCGCTGAAGAAATGCTTCTGCGATTAATCTTGAAGTTCATTCTTCAGAGTCGCTGGCGGGAAAGTGCAATATGTTGTTCTTAATATATCAACCTTCAATCTTAATAATCTTGGAAGTTCTAATGGGAACTTGCGCCGCCTGTTTCTGACTTGGCTGCGCGCTGGAAAGCTGGCATCGTCAATTATTGCATACACTTGTTCGTGCCTGATTAATTAAAAGACCATCACAAACATGGTCTTGCCCTAACAAGGAAAAATCCACCTGGGAAACTTTCTGCAGCTTTCAGAAACTTTGCGCCTTTTATTAGTTCACGTACGGCCAACAGTGCATAACTAAGAATGGTGTTACGGTAATTAAAATAACTTATAACCAAGTGAAAACTTTGATTACAACCGTACTGCGAGCGAGAAGTTACTTTTACTTGCTTGCAAATTCAGTCAGTCGGATTAGGGGATAAATTATTTATACCGGAGCGATTTAATATTTGGAATCCTACAAGCGAACATCAGTTTGCATCTCGTTACCGGATAGAGACCCAATTTGATTAGTATTGTAACGTTGTAACGGTCTACAGAGTGAGGCACTCAAGTGAGGGGTGTGAATCATAACGTTGATACCAACAAAAAATCCTAAATTCTACTGATTGATACTTCTTCGGTTACTTCCATGAACATTTCAGCCGCTCGTAGCTTGTAAAAATTGTCTGGATATTTTACTCGAATTTCATATGGCTCTAACTCGATTGAGCACGCCACTAGGGAGCTCACTCGCGATTCTCGGCTTAACACTCAATTTCTCGCTTCCAACGCTGTCTGCAAGATTTCGGCCAGATTAAGTGCCGAAACCGCGTTGTTTTAAATAAATCCTGATGTCAAAACAAACAGTTCGCTTCAACCGCATTCTAAAAAAGTTGCTCCAATTAGGGAACTATCGGGCAAAGTTCTTGCTCAATATCAGACTTATAATCCGCCAAGTTGTTCGACCCAAATTCAAAGTTTCTTTGTCGCATCCGATTACTGAACCGTAACTAATCAAGAATCCGAGTTGCGATAGATACTTAATTCGAAGTGAGTATCCCTTCTTGTAGAAAGATGATAAAACACTTCATTGGACTTGATACCTTTTATTTGCTCAGCGTAGTTGTGTTCATAGAGCGGCGTCAATTCGCTATTGAGCCAAATTAACTCCCGCTGAAAATGAGTTTATTTATTGGGGATTTTCACAAATTACTTGATATTAATTAAAACGTTTACCGAGACATTGACGCACTCGATGGGAGGTAATTCCATTACATGCCAAGATTGGATGAGAGCAAGAAATTGAACGTTAAGCAAGCTGAGCTGGTGCGGTCCCTGGTGCGATGGATAAATTGTGTTAGGAAGAGATGAAAGTTCGGTGGATTCTCATATTGCCTAATAAAAATTGGAGATGCTGGATTTTTGATTAATCGCCCAAAAGAATTTTTGAACGTCGCATCTGTACCTACTGCCTAATTTATTATTCTTCTGCTGTCCAGAGGGATTTTTTTGCGCTGTTCATCAAACCACCGTTGTCCGATGTTGGGGCATTTTTCTGACACAAATGTTGTTTTTTGCAGGTATCTCCATGCATAAAGGATATGCTTTCGTCCAGTTCACAAACCCCTTTGATGCGAGAAGCGCCTGTTTAGGAGAAGACGGAAGAACGGTTCTCAGTCAAATTTTAGGTGAGTGATTAGCTTAAAGTACAGAGAAAATCGATTTAAAGCAGGCTAGTTAATCAAAGGAGCGATCGAACAAAATCAGTTATAAGTGTACAAACTGTTCCTTTATGCAGCTGTAGGAGGAACTATTAAGATCCACTTTAGTTGAAATAGTAGAGAAAAATGAAATCGCTGTCGTTAAGAGACAAAAATGAAAACTGTAAAAGATATAATTGGATTGGCGAGGCCTTAGAACGTTGGCTCTCGACTTTTGCCCCTAACTAAGATATATGATTCAATGTAAGTGCAAATGTAATACTCAGGTTTGTATCTCTTCGCCGGCTCACGCGCGAAGCCTTTTATTGGCCGCGTTATGGATTGCCGCTATAATTGGCGCTCTTCTTCGCTCCAGGCTAATGGAGGCGACTGAAAAATTTATCACCTCAACCCACATAGTAATAAAACCGAATTTCGACATTAAATATTAAATGGAGGGCGAGTGGTTGCTTCCCTATTTTATGCCGTTCTAGACGACTATAGCCTGTTTGCACCTTCACAAGATCAGACAGGACGTGTCAACGGTACTTTATACTTAAATAAATGAATGAAAACGTTTGAATAACGATGAATCCAAATATATACAGCGTATGTATATGAATAGACAATACGCTACCGGCTCTGGTATCTGTTAGAGCGTTTCTGGATGTTTAGAAATGTTTCGACTGGAAGTTTCAATACGGGCGCTAAGTTTGCCAGCCGGGCTCTGTTCAAGTGATATAATGGAGAATTCAGTGCAGAGACATTCCAGCAACTTTGGCATATTATTGTTGCACACGTTCGGAACTGGCGTCGGATAGTAAATAAGCGGAATACATTTCCTCGATAAATACATATAAATCCAGAGGTAAGCGGTTAACTAACTGGAAACACTAAATTCGATTCGTTTTGGCAACAAAATTGCTACTGTTGCAATTTCACATAAGCCATTGAGGTGTTTATTTCCTCAAGTTTCTTTGGGTTCTGATGTTGCGCCAGCTTGCATGATCGGCATCTTCAGATCAGTTGAACACAAATGACCCTATTTTGCAATTAGGGACGTAGCTGACATTGGTTTTCTCACTCGCGCACATATGATTCTATGAGTGATGCCAGTTAGCCGGCGTGTAGCTACGTGCACACTTGATACCTTTATGGCTTCAAATATTTCCGTTTAGAACGAGGCACGCTTTAATCGCACTGAGTTTAAAAAACCATTGATTCCTTGTTTAAATATGGGATTTGAGTTTAACCTTGATTGTTCAAGTTGTAGCTCCAAAAGTGGTTCCTTCAACTTTTTCTGAACATCGTCATTTGTGGAGAAGCAGGTTCTCAGGAAAGTCTCGTAATCTTTTCCAATTTTTCCAGCGAGAGTCAGTTGAGGTCTCGAAAAACTTTTATTTTAAGCAAAATTTTGCAGATAACTGGCCCCATTTAATAATAATAATTTAACCCGTCATTTTTTTAAATTTTCGCTTTTATTGAAGTTTTACACTCATCCTTACTGAAATCAACAACTGCATCACAAATAATAATATTCCGAAAACGTGGAAAAGTGGTGTAATAATTCCTATACCTAAAAATGGACGAGACGGWACACAAATKGAAAACTACAGACCTATAACATTACTCCCGGTGCTGCGCAAAGTCTTGGAACATATACTAAAACAGAGACTCGAAGAACTGATCGGAAAACATATACCAACCTACCAATTTGGCTTCAAACAATATCACTCGACTATTCATCCGCTATTCATCTTGACCAACAACATACAAACAACTCACCTAAATGACGGAAAGTCGGCATGTCTACTCATGGACATCAACAAGGCTTTTGATAGTGTCTGGCATAGGGGTTTACTATATAAACTATACAAACTTCACACACCACCATATCTACTACACACCATAAAGAACCTACTAGAAAACAGACAACTACAAGTTCGAATTTACAATACACTCTCTTTTTCTTTTTCCCCTGAACAAGGGCTTCCTCAAGGATCCCCGCTCTCACCCTTTCTCTACAGTATATACTGCCATGACATATACAATTACAACTTACCAGACAAAAATCAAATCGAC